ATCACTGGTTCCTGCTCGCCACGCTCGCGCCCACATTTTAGGAGACAGGAACAAACACGGATGTGAAATCAAGAATGAAAGAGAGAGTAATCTAATTAATAGGCCATGAGCCAGGCTAACAAAATCAAAGAATCTTATTACACAAGTAGCCCTCTCGCTATCTCCGCCGCCCCCGCCCCCACCGTCTCTTCCAGCCTCCGCACTGCTTCCTCTCCTAGTCTGGAAAGTTATGGAGGCAAACCCAGAGCCCCCCGATTTCCTCGGAACGGCCGCCCTGAGCAACTGAGATGACCAAGCCACCGGGAGAACGTGGACAGCTGGAGGGATGCCCCCCACACTTCCTACAAGTATCACTCTCACAACAGCAACAACAACGACGGCTACAACCACCAACACCATCACCACACCTGTACTGAGACTTGGGGAGAGAGAGTCTGCACTCAGAAACACTTTAAGAGGATCTATTTACAAAACAAAACACATAACAAAATTCCTTGCTTCTGATCACTGGGAACTTAAAGCCTTTAACTTTCCTTCAATGTCCTTCCCCACCACAGGCGCCTGAGCATAGCCAGGTGCTAGGTTTTATCACTGAAACATCGCATCTGTTCTAATAGCTCCAGTCAGCCACGTGCAATTCATGAAAGAACTGGATTCTCTCATTTCTATCCTTCTGCCTTGAAAAAAACCAGGTCCACCTCCTAAATAATTAATTTCAAGTCTGCATCCAGTGCCAATACTTGTTGCATGCATTTTAGAGTTTGATTAATTACCCTGGAACTTGGGCAAACTAAACTCCATGTGGAGAGAATGTTTCTTCCTTCAATTTAGTCCTGAGAGCTACAAGTTATTGATGGATCTCACTCTATTTACATACAAATTGGTGCAAATATGCCCATCTCTTAAAATGCATTTTGTATAAATATATAAAAGTGTCATTTTTGATTTAGCTTGAAGAGGTTGATCATTTATTATAAAAATAAACGAATAAATACAACAATATATTGTTGCTTCCAACAGGATAAATACTTTACAAATATATAATTTAAAAAACAAATTTAATTGTTAAAATTATTTAAAATATTACACTTATCGATAAAACTATCAATAGCATATACTGCATTTAATATTAGAACCGATTATTCTCTGAATGTTGAAAACCATTCATACAAAACAGATTATGAGCATGGTGATGAGCAAACACTGTGAGCTACAGGAAAGCAGAGGGAATCTCTAAGATCAATAATGAATAGTTCTGTTTTGGAACAAAGAAGTAGTCCTTGGGTAAGTACTTAAAGCAAAAAAAAAAAAAAAAAGGCAAAGCAACAACAGCAAAGTGACTATTTTAAATACACCTTGAATGATTTATCGCCCATACTTGCAGGGGAAGATGGCTGGGTGAATGAGATGGCTGTGGCTTGGACAACTGATCAGAAACCACAGGAGACTGCAAACTATAAATGGGCCTAGCTCAGGATTAGCCAGATTGATGGAACAGAACTTTGTCACTCCTCTGGGTTAGAAGGGGAGGTGGGGGTGGGTTGAAATGGAGGAAACAAACGGACACTTGACGAAGCACAAGACACTTGCGCTACAAAGGAACACAATGACCAAATTCATTAAAAAGATCTGGTGATATATAACAATGTTTTCATTATTTACATGTGTAACAATATAAGCCTTAGCACAAAACTGATCAGTTGTATCTGCCCTCTTTTGTTTTCCAACCATGAATTTCATTTTGTAAATACATTCAAAAGGTTGATTTTTTTAAAAAAAATATGGAGTGCAAGCATGAGCTCACTTTAAAAAAATACAAAATAATGAAATAAAATGGACTATCATGCCCAGCTTCTCTGAATTCTTCTACCTCTACATCAGAGCTTCTTCCAAAGTAAACAGCAATGGTTACTTTTTAATAGAAAACAGTGTGAAATCCAATGTTAGTTCTTTTGTTGTCAGCCAAATCAAGTAAGCAAATGCCTCCTAACCTTTGAAATAGACCCATTCTCTGTCTGATCAACCACTACCAGTCCTGAAGGGAAAATAGGATTTCACCTCATGGGCCAGCAGCCTCCACCCAATATAAACAACCACACCCAATCCTCAGCTTTCCAATAAGGCCTTCTGTGCTTGCCCCTGCACACAGACCCTCAAAAATTGATGAAGTTTGTGCCCCCCCCCACGTCTCCCCCAGGTTGTAAATCTGCTGGGAACAGAGATTACAATAGCAAGAGAAATAGGAACCGAGAAGGCAAAGAAAAGTAAATTGTGGTTTCTTGTTTTCATTTTTTCCTTGCCCTCTGTTTAATAAATATGGCCTTTTTCAGATTTCACAAATCAAAATGATTGTGATTTTTAGTACGATTTGGTGTTTAAAATAATGCAACCCAATACACGGCCATCTGGCTGGGCTTGATTTATGAAAGTGACACAGGGTCTGTCTGGAAGAAATAACTATTCCTTGTTGCTCACACAGTTTTCTTTTTTTTTTTTTAACTCGTGCATCGATGTTACAGGGAGACGGAGTAGATGAGAGAAGACGAAAAAAGTGAGTGACAGCTCAATGAGATCAGGGGGAAATTAATCTATACAAATCACTGTTTTATCACCCCCAAAAACTTGTTTTTAAAAGTACACTACAAAAAGACTCAACAGAGACTTCTTCGTCTTGTTACTTACAACCTGAGGCATTACACTTTCATTTTCCTATGTTGTAAATATTGATATGTTAACTTGATAAATGTGACCGCTTGGCAGGATGTATCTAGAGAATGAGCAGGAAGTGAAAACCCCCAGCAACAGTAAAGAAAGTATAGAATCATACTGGGGAAAGGCCAAAACACAGAAATCTAGACTCTGAAGTCTAAGCTGGTACTCACACTGAGGGTAATGCAGTGTGGACCATAATCAGGATGTTAGAGCAATATTCTTCCATTATAAGAAAAACAAAGCAAAACCCTCCCCAAATGGCTTAATAATTTATAATTAATTACATATAGTTATTCATGGGAAGTAAGATATATAAAAATATTTCATCAACTTGTAAGCTATTCTTCACAACTGTTAGTCTTCAGAAAAAAGAGGAAAGAGATGTAGTAATATGGTGGGGCGGTGGGGGGAAGGAAATGAGTGGAAAAAGGCTAAACTTTGGTGGTATGGGGCAGGCTCTGTATTAAGCATTAATAACCAATTGGCACATTTTTTACTGGGGATGTAGTCCAACATTCTGCTAAAGATGATAAAAGACACAGGTATCTCTGGGCAAAAGGCCTAGCATTTAGAAAATTTCACCTAAAAAAAAAACAACACTAAAAACACTCACTAAAATTAAGTGAGGGGGGAATACTGTGAAATTAACAGGCTAACAAGGAGGGACTACTATGTCAATGACTATCTGTTTCTGTCATCGTCTTTTATTCTAGATTTGCAAATATACCTTAGGTGGAACAGACTCTGCTCCCTCAGAGCTATCCCTTAAGGAGTTGCATTAGTAAAAAAATATTTTCTAAAGGACTTTTTCTTTCCCACACAGTGTTTATGCATCAGACACAGACTATTTCATTCTAACAAATTTATTTTCTCGATCAGCTCTTACGGAATCACTACTCAAATTAAATTACAATCAAATAATCACATCAAAAGATACCCTTATTACCTAGCAACTGTCCATATTTTCATTTCATTTTGATTTGTGCTCGTCTGAAAAAAACACGTAATACAAGATCTGGGGAAAAATAAATTACCGTTTTGCAGCAGTTCATAAGTATTCTGAATAAAATATTAAAAGAAGTCATTTAATGAAAATATAAAGCAAATATTTTTAGATCAACAACGGATCTAACAATTCTCTATTGCCGTCTTTTGAAAAGTCTGTTTATTAAAACCTACCAAAAACACTGCATGGAAACGGCAGTATTATATCAGCACGTCCACAGCGCCCACTCAATCAGAGTCGGCGACGGGTGAAGGCGGGAGTCCGGACAAGTGCTGTCTCTCTAAATCCCTCCATCTGAGTCAGTCCAGAAATAAAAAATAAAAAATATTAATAAAAAAAATATTAGCGGTGGCATCTTTAGGCGTCGTCCACCGGAGCGGCAGCAGATAAGGCCGGAGTTGGTGGCCAGGTCTCGCTTGGCAGCCAGTCCTCCCGGCCGGGCCGGGATGCGCCGGGGCCTCTCTCACTGGCCGGTGGGCATCTCCTGCTCCCTCGCCCGTCCCTGTCCCTCTGCTCTCTCTTGATACTTTTATTTCCAAGGTTACTTTGACGATAGGTATTGTTTTTCTTTTGGCTTTACTATCAGTTTGTTAATTTCAGAAGCTGTGAATACATGTGTGTGTGTATATATATATATATATATATATTTCTTGTCTTCTGGAGAGTGTTCTTTTTTTCGCCTTCCCATTTCATAGTCAATTTGTTTGTCCCCAAATGACTTTAATATGGACAAGAATCACGGGGTCCGGGAGCAGAGTCACCCCTGATTAAACCCGGTGCCCCTGCAGGCCTTCAGGTCGCTCTCAGGAAACAAAGTTACGGTGGATCTCTCCAGGCAGGAGGGGGCCCTTTGGAGAGAGGGGGTGGAAGGGAAGGGTATGCTTTTTAAAAAAAAAAAAAAAATTTTTTTTTTTTTTTTTTTTAAAGAGGAGAGGACGAGGCAGGTGCTAAGTGCTATCCACCGTCGCCGTGTAGGACTTCTCAGGGTGGGAAAAACCTCGAGAGTGCAGTTTTGGTGCGCTTGGCATCTCCACCCTTCTTTAAAAAGAAAACCAAGAAAACGGAACACCACCACAGTAGAAAGAGACCTCAGGATCGCCCCTTTTTCTCTCGGTTTTGTCATCTACGTGTATATAAAACTGTCTGGGCATTCGTAGGCTTTGTTTGCTTGCTTCGCCCCTCCTTCCTTGGACTTCAAACAGCGTCTCCTCGGTGCGCCCCTCTCCGTTCCCCCGAGAGCGGGCAGGCCTGTCTTTGGGCGGAGGGGAGGGCGGCCCGGCCCGGCCCGGCCCGGCGCACGGGGGCGGCGGGGGTGACAGCGGCGGCGCCCGGCCTTCACTGCACGCTCGTCTGCAGCCCGTGGTGCGGCGGCGGCGTGTCGGCGCTCACCGGGCCCACCTGCGAATACACGTCGTCGGGCGTCTGCTGCTGGATCCCGGGCGGCGTCATGCGCTTCTCCTTCTGCCTCCGGTTGCAGAACCACACCCGCACCACCTCCTTCTCGAGCTGCAGGCTGTCGGCCAGGTTTGTGATCTCCTGCGCGGAGGGCTTGGGGCACTTGAGGAAGTGGCTCTCCAGGGCGCCCTTGACGCTCACCTCGATGGAGGTCCGCTTCTTGCGCTTGCGGCCCTGCGCCGCTATCTTGTCGATGCTCGTGGGGCTGCCGGTACTCGAGTCCGCCTCCTCCAGCCACTTGTTGAGCAGCGGCTTGAGCTTGCACATGTTCTTGAAGCTCAGCTGCAGGGCCTCGAAGCGGCAGATGGTAGTCTGCGAGAACACGTTGCCGTAGAGGGTGCCCAGCGCCAGCCCCACGTCGGCCTGCGTGAAGCCCAGCTTGATGCGCCGCTGCTTGAACTGCTTGGCGAACTGCTCCAGGTCGTCGGACGTCGGCGTGTCCTCGTCCGAGTGCGGGTCGTGGCTGTTGAGTCCGGGCCCCGCGCCGCCGCCGCCGCCGTGGTGGGGGGGCCCCTGCGCGTGGTGCGGGTGCGGCGGGTGCGGGTGCGCGTGGTGGTGGTGGTGGTGATGGTGCTCGGCCAACTCGGGCGTGTCCCCGCGCACCAGCCCCGGGTGCACCAGGCTCTGCGCGCCGCCGCCGCCCGCGCCGCCCGC